TACATGTTCCCATAGGATAAATTTAAGTACTACAATCCTGGCCATAAGTTGTTGGGACATCTCCCCTTTTGTGTGCAAAAACCCACAATTTTAACTATGTCCTTGACGTTTTAGGAAAAGATCAATAGAAGCAAGTATAATAGCCCCCCCTCCCCTGAGCAATGTTGAAAGAAAATGAAGCTATTCTGAAGAGTAGATCAGGTGGTGTGAAAAAGGAAAAAGCGACAATAGAAAGTGGTTAGACAGTTGTGTTGGAAGCGAACATTGCTGAAAAGTTGCTATTATTGGAACAACATGTGAATGTCTATGTTATCGTCACTTTAGTTGGAAAAGACTGTTTTAGGAGGCAAACAATTCTTGAAACGTGGCTATTCTGAAGCTATTATCAAGGTTTTTTTGTTTTCAAGATTTTTACCAACATTGACACGGGGGAAGGGGGGTAGGCAAGCTTACGCAGTCTTGGTCTTAAGAGAGGCTGCCTGTGAAATCATCTGCCATAAACTGTCCCACTTGTGACCAGGATTGTGGTTGTTTTCCTAGTTATTTTGCTAGTAAGCTTAAGTGCTAGTTGTTTTCCTATCTGAGTAATAGCAGAACTTTCCAACTTAAGAGTTCAGGGGCCTGTTTCTCAAAAGACCCGGTAAATACTGGGTCCGGTGACTTACCGGGCCAGTTTAGGGGAAACTTTACCGGGCCCAAAATAGCGTTTCTCAAAGCACCTGTAAATTTTCCCGGTAGTTACCAGGCCCAATGAAATAGCGGGTTGCTATCAATCTCTAGCGTGAGCTTCACACTCGTCCGTGAGAGAAGGAGAAAGACTTGGGACTATAACGTGTTCGACAAATTCGATTGTTGTTGTTGCAACTGTGCTGCTTTTTGAAGAACACTGCGAAGTTTAACTTCGAAGTTATTGTTGTGCCAAACGAGAGCAACTGAGAGAGATCGTTATTTTGCATGGTCATATTATTTGAAAGTGAAGATCAATTCCCTTGATCAACAATCTCGCTCTTTTCTAGGAGTCTTGTCATTTTCCGTGATTCATTCTCATACTTCCCGATTAGAGATGACATGTTTACATTATTTTAGAATGCACCAGTGTGAAAGGGAGGTGTATTGAAATTCCAGGTAAGTTCTATTTGATGCATTTAAAATATAATTGTTTTTCTTTACATATTGTAGAGTTTGTTGCATCTATGTTGGCAAGCTTCATTCAGTTTGCACTGGAAAAAATTGGGTCTGCTAAATCTGCGAGCCAGCGAGCCAGCGAGCCATGCAAGCCACGGTGCGAGCCATGCGAGCCAATTTTGCAAGTATTTTTTTTCTTCGATCGGTCTAGGAGGTCATCGATCATTTCACCAAGAAACATCTCGTGCCTGACTATCACTAAATTAAACTACCGCTATAAACCGCCCGCCATCTTCAAAGCGGAGATGACCCTGGGGACGAGTATAAATGGTACAACCTCGCTCCCAGGGTACTCTCTCTTTCCCTGGGAAATTAATTTTAAATTTATCTACAAAAGTGCCTAAAATTGAAATATTCAAGGAAAAAATCCTACTCTCGCTTCGGTTGCCAGAACTATTGCTGGTGCATCAAATATGAAAAATGCTCTAAACATCTGTACATCATGCCAAGTCTTGCATCATAGTAATGGCTGCCCTGAGGGTCCCTGAGTTGGACGAATTTTTTTCTTTGTTTCATATTTCTGTTGTGTAGAAAAGTTTGTCTATTCAAATCGCCCAGGATCTGCAAAAAATAAAAACAATGCGACAAGAATTTATTAAGGTTCAAGACTTAAGTAAGAAAAATTTTCTGAGAAACGGAGTGATAAAAGTGTTGACCTGGTGTTGACAAGCCTGCACGACTCCAGCCGTTTGTAGATGAATAAGTTCTAAAGCCTTCATAGCTTAGCTTTAACTAGGATGTCTTTTAGGGATTTTCCCTTGCGATATGAGATGATGGGGGACTCCTTAAAGATTTCTGTCAGTTGTGGTTGATTATCTATAAGGTGCCATTTTGCCATGAGTATGTCTTTTAGGTTGGGCAACGCCGGGTGGTATTGCGTTACAAAGGGCAGTATTTTCTTTTGTGCAGTTTTGTTTCTCTGTGCTAGCGACATTTTTCTGTCAGAGAATTCAATCTCTGAAAGGTGTTTCTCTACAATTCTAGCTGGGTAATCTCTATTCTGCAGGTGTGTTTTGAAATTACTCATGTTTTCCTCAAAAGTAAATTGAGAGGAATTTGTTCTCAGAAGCCTTAACGATTCTCCTTTAATAAAGCCTTTTGTGACACCTGGTGGATGACAGGAATAGAAATTCGTGTATTGAAAGGTCTCTGTAGGTTTGAAAAGCCTTCACACATCAAGAAAAGATTCCTTATTGAATCTGTCCCCTTTGTACACTTTCGTCTCCAAGAATGCAGTTTCTGTTTCTGAGATTTCAGCCGTGAATTTGATCGTTGGGTGAAAACTGTTTGTCTTTAGAAGGAAATCTATTTTGTCTCTACTTGTGTTCCACATAGATATGACATCAGCAATGAATCTTTTCCAAAAGATGGGTTTCGTGTTACTTTGTCTGAGTATTTCTATTTCTATTTTGGCCATAAATATGTTAGCAAAAGCTACGGCCATTTTTAATCCCATGGCTGTTCCATGAGTTTAGAGGTAATCTTTTCCACTGAATTGGAATGAGTTTTCTTGTAAAATCAGACTGTGCATTTCTCTTTTAAATACCTGCTAGGAATTGGAGAGTTCTCATGATAAGACTCTTCGCATGCTTCGCATGCTGTGGGAATACCCTCTTCCCGTGGTATGTTTGTGTAGAGACTGGTGACGTCCATTGACACAAGAATGGTGTTCTTAGGCAGTTTAGTCTTCTCGATGAAGTTAAGAAAGTCTGTTGTATCTTTAAGATACGAGGATTGTCTTTGTGCTATCGGTTGAAGACAGTGGTCAACAAAAGATGAGATCCTTTCTGTAGGGCCGTCACACCCTGATATAATAGGTCTACGGACAGGTGTCGGTTTCTGAATCTTTGTAAGTGTGTGAAACATTGGTATTCGCAGAGGGTCGGGCGTAAGGGAGAGCCATTTAGCTGTCATTTTGTCTATGCGGCCTTTTTGAAGTTGCGATCGAATCAATCAATGGACTTTTTTGGCCGTGGTGTCAACCATAGGTTTGTCTAAGGGTCGGTAGTTATGTATATCATCAAGTTGAACTTGACCCTTGTTGAGTTTATCTGTTCGGTTCATTATGATGGTTGCAGTACCCTTATCGGCTTTCCATGCATTGTGAGGCAGTTTAACTGGAAGTAAAATTTGTAGCTATTCATGATTTTTTTCAGCTCAGCTTCTGATTGGCTGATTAAAAAAACGTCTTGGTGACGGTTTGTGTAGTCGCTGCAAGAATTTAATATTGCAGTCTTATTCATCTTGTTCCGTTGTTCTTGTTCTGATTGGCTGATTCAAAAAATGTCCATAGTGACAGTTTGTGTAGTCGCTGCAAGAATTTAATATTGCGATCTTATTCATCTTGTTCCGTTGCTCTTGTTCTTGTTTTCATGCGAATATAAATGTAACAAATAAAAATTCTTAACATTTGTACTGTGCCTCGCATGACTCTCATGGCTCACATGGCTCACCCCTTGGCTTGCATGGTTCGCTGGCTCGCAGGTTTACAAAACTCTAAAAAATTTATTACCGCGTAGTGCACATCTGCCAGTCAAGCAGGCTGTTGTTTTGCAACAAACGTTTTCGTGGCGTTTTAAGGTATGTGAATAATGTGTACTTTTCTTTTAATTATTACTATATGTCCCTAATCCATGCTTGTTATTGTTTATTGTTTAAATCAATTATTTTCTTTTCTTTTCTTGGGTTTAAACATTTCTTGAAGCGCTTCTCGGTTTTTCCAAAAAAAAACATAATGCAAAACGATAAAAAAAAAACATTTCTAAATATGTGACTGAACTTTAAAATCACACAGTGACGTTAGTGGTAATTTGTTATTTAAATTTTGTAAATATGGAGATGTTTTCGCAGAAAAAATCGAGAAGCTCCAGATTCACTCCAGCCATGAGTGAGGCACTTGTTCAGGCCTACCAAAAAAATCAAGTAAGCTAAGTTCTGTTATAGAATCATCTTGACATTAATTATATTAAGTAGTAGTTATGATGTGAAAATAACCTTTGATGAAATTCATGTTGCAGCACCTAGTAAATCAAATGATTAAAACAACTTTAAAAGTGGGCAACAGTTAAACTATGCTGTTATAACATCACAAATTTTCTGTTAATATATATTCAGTGAATGTTATCAGTGAAGAAAGGTTTCTGTTTACAAAAGTGAATCACTTAATTTCTTTTTTCCATCAAATTGTTTCTTCAAACTTTTAAATATTGTCATATAAAAAGGAGATGACAGAGAATGTGAAGAAGAAGGAGAGGGAGGCCAGAAATAAAGAACTGAAAAGGTTAAGGGTGACAGGAAATGGACATTTAGAAGATGAGGTAGGCTAGCTTTTAAATGTGTGCTACACTTGAATAATCTCCCATATCACAGAGCTACTTAATCATGATCAAAATTGCTTTTTCGAGGATGATGAAAATGCAGCCAAACTCTCTGAGCCCTGCACAGAGAGCCTCCCTCTTTCTGAGAAGGAAATTGCACGAATTTTAGGGCCACAGACTTTCACTGGGATTCCTGGTGGACATGATTCCATGGAGACACTCAGTGAGAATTATTTTTGTCTTAATCTACTCCAAAAAGGTTAGCCTGTTTGAATATTGTTATTATTACTATTGTTATCATTTTTATAAGTAGTTTTTTTGAAAAACATTTCAGAATAAAAACTAGCGGTAAAAAATGATGTTTCGATCTCTCTGAGATCATTTTCAAGTTGAAGAGAAAGCGAATGAAATATACATATATAAGTACAAATTAGGGCGTGAGAATGTCAAACGATAAAATATGTAAATACAAGCGCTAAAATGTAAGTGTTAAAATAATAAAATACTATAACAAAAACCTATATAAATAACTTTGCATGGATTGAATCTGACTGTTTGTTCAAGGTTGGCTTAAGCTCCTTTATAGAGAGCATTTCATAGATTAGGCAGTCGAATTTACTTTGGCACTTTCTCAAGATCTTAAAATCACGATATATGTCACTTGGGACGGTTCCATGCTGCTCTTTGATGTGATCCCCAATTGAAGACGATCCTTTGTGTTCCTCAACGTGTTGATAGAGGTGTCGACACGTGTAGCTGACATAGTTTGCATGACACAAACCACACCTATAGTAGTAAACAACGCATTGCTGGTTAATGATAGGCAGCTTCTTTTCTTTTGGTTTGACCTCGTGTCTGATCTTGCAGCTTGTATACACAGGACAAATATCAATTCCGATTTTTCGGCCTAGTTCCCCAAGTTGCCTTCGCGCGGAATTGGCCGATCTCTGATCCTTGAAAGGTAACACTATTCTGACAGGCGCTTCATTCACGTTATGTGCTCGAGTAAAAATTGGATCACCAGAAACTTTCTTGGTGACAAAATTACTGATGGTTGATTGTATCAATTGTGCTGGGTACTGAAGTCGGGAGAACGTCTGTGTGAGACGATCACATTCCAGGTGGAACAGTTGCCAGGTAGATGATAGTTTAAAGGCACAATCCACCATTGTTTTTAGCAATGACTTCTTGTATCTAACGTTGACATGGGTCTTGTAATGTAATAATAATCCGGTGTCAGTTGGTTTTCTGTACACCCTTGTCTCCAGGCGACCATTGCATTTCCTGATCTCCGTTCCCAGGAAAGGAAGTTTACCATGTTCGCCAAGTTCCATGGTGAAGCTGACAGATGGATGACTCTCATTTAGAGAGGAAAGGAATGCTTCAGCTGTTTTGGTGTCAGGCATTATGCTCAATGTGTCATCCACATAGCGTTTGTAGAACTCAGGTAACTTGCCTTGGTCCTGAAGTCAATCTTCGATACTGCACATAAATACGTTGGCCATTAGGGGTCCAAGTGGCGAACCCATGGCAACACCATCGGTTTGTTCATACAAACTCCCCTCRAACTGAAAAAGCTGGTTCTTGGTGGCAATATTTAGCAACTCTACCAAGTCTGATTTTGTAATGTTGAGATTATGCTGTTTATTGAACCAGTCGTCCTTAAGTGCCTTTTCAGCTAGAATTTGTATCGTTTCATCAACAGGGACATTGGTAAAGAGCGAAGTTACGTCATATGAAACAAGGATACTGTGATTGTCAACTTCCACGTCATGGAGAGAATCCACGAAATTAAAAACATCACTGATGGTGTGGTCATTGACTGATACAGGTTTGAGCTTTTTGTCAAGCCATTTTGCCAACTTGTAAATTTTTATTGGCATTTGCTCTTAAGTGGGCAAAAGTTGGTTTTGACAGTACTGATTTTTCAATTTAAAAGTCTAAATTAGTATTTAACCTCCAATTTATCACTTGTCACGGATTTGTGAAGGAGATTTTGACTTTAGAAACCACACTGAAGCATTCAAATAGAAATTAAGCCAGTATGGGTGTCAAAATATTGCTTTTCACAAAATGCAAATTTTGTGATGGTGTGTTGCAAAATGGGCCTTGAAAGCATCCAAAAGTTTCTTGGGCCAATTTTTTCTCAGTTGACTTTTATTATACTTGGATTGAGGTAACTCCTGATATAAGTATCAATTTTAGCTAATACGGCAGCAAAGAAACATGACCTTCTAAAACTTGGTAATTTTGGATGGTAGTTTTCTCTTCAAAATTTGCCCAAAACTTGTGCCAGGCCCCACTCTGCCAGAACCTTCTATGCCAAATCGGCATACATAAACTGAACGATCCTTTGCAACAGAAACACACCATACAATGAATTAGTGAAAGGGCTTTATTTGTTTGTTTTTATGATGGTCCAAACTTACCCTTTCAAAACCATGGTTTTCCATGTTCTGAAGGCCCCAAATAGGACCCCCCAAAACTTTTGAACTTAAAGTCAGAGAACAAAACCAACTTGGCTTTTGGAATATCTCGCTACCGCCAACTTCTGGAGCAAGTTTTATCAAAATCAGCCGACCCACATTTTCAACCTCTGGGACACTTTCTCAGACAATGACACCTAAGCTTCAATAGCGCTTCCAAACAGGGTGTAAGTAGTCAATCAAAATCGCTCATTGAAAACATAACTGACTGATCGATAGTACTCGATGATACTCAATATTTGTTGATTGATTAGTTATAATCAATAAAAATCGATAATCACAAATTTGGCTACAGTCCCTCTTTTTTTTCATTCGAAGCTTAACTAGCAAGCGGCATGTCTGTTGACTTATTGAGTGGTAGAACTGTGCTATTTTTACCACATGTATCCACTAGGACTAACAAAAGTTCACACACACTTTGCAAATCATTTTATTCCAGAGGAAAACAGGGTGTAATAAGAGGATGTAAAAAGACATTCATTCCTTTCCACTGTACTGGCGCCTCTTGTAAGTGCCCTGCTTTTATCTTCTTCTTTGGTTGTTAAACCAAACTCTCAACTGGAAAACAGAAAATCACCAAAGTACCTCAGTGCAAGGAGCCCGAAGCTTCTAAAGGTAGATTATAGTAATACCTGCACCTGTGCTTAATTTTTGCTTAACCAACCAGGGTAATCTGATTGACCTAATTGGAGTCTGTTCTCACCCCAGTTATAGTGCTGCCTCCTTAAACCCTCAGTCTTTTGCATTTGATCACAAAAAGGCGAGCATGTAACTTAATGCAAATGACTGATGTCGAAGTGCAAGGATGTCTGGAAACGAGGCAGGGTTGTAGCCACTATCATGTGTCTGAAACAGCATGGCAGTGCAGAACAGAATTTAGAAAACTCAGTATGTCGTATTTTAAATGGTTATTCCTTGTCTATCTAGTTTTTACTAGATATGTCGCAGTTGCAGAATGTGCGCCTCATAAAGACATCCATGACGTTAACCATGAGTTACAGACACTCTGATTTAAACCACTTATTTTTAAAAATAATTTTAAAATGTCACTGAAATGTACCTCCTGATTTATCACCTACATAAGATAAAAAAAAAATGACATGCGGACGATGACTTGCGTAAAGTTAAGGCTGTATGGTATTTGGTCAGGGCAAATAAAGTTTAGTCAGCCAACCAAAAGGTGAGACAAACCATGTAAAAGTTACTGTTTCTTATTTTTATAGGTTCCCAAAAACATACACTCGACAAGACATACCTTTTTTCCACAAATTCTTATGGCTTTAGCAGCCCCCTCCAAAACTTCTCTTTGTGGATTTGCATTGCTAGAAACATTCACAGAATCTAGAGCAGTGAACTCTAAGTCACTGAAATGTTTTCTACTTGCTCTGTGCAGGGTGCCATCAGCTTGAGCATCTTTTTTGGGCTTTTCCTTGTTCATTTCTAAAATTTAAAACCACATCTGCTAAAATCTACCAAACAAAATCACTGTATTAGTCAATATTGCAGGCACATGTATCATTTTACATTTCTGGGTTAAGGTCTACCATGGTCTGTGATTGCGATTGTTGCACTAAAAATGGAAACTTGTTTTGTTTGTTTTCTGGGTGTAGTTCACTTGACATTTCTATTACAATTCTTCTGATCTTAAGTTTGTATAGTGTGATCGCCCAGGTGAGGGTAGTTCTGAAAAGAACTGTTGTTGGTGACTGATGTTTCGACAACCTGAGCGGAAGTCATCTTCAGAGTCAAGTGAATAGTGTTTCTCAGTCAATGATGTTGTAAGTCTGGTTCATTGAATGTGACTGGTCAGTTTAGCCAAGATGGTATTGGCTGAAAGACTCGTGTAAAGTTTGTCACCAGTCATTGGTGGTTTTTGATCTGTCTATTGCCGCTAAACATCCTTCAAACATATCTTTTGTCAAAACTAAGAATAAAACAAAGGTAATCTATATGTAATAGAACCGGTAAATATCCCATTTTGTTTTCAGGAGAAAAGAGACCAAGCTGTCAATAACGCCCTCAAGACAAGAGATTTGAGTATACACAGGAAATTCAGGATCTTCATACCAACATTCCACCAGTTGCACCGAGGGAGCTAGAAAAACCAGCTGACTCTGATGATGAAGCAAAACAAGATTTCTTATTAACACGAAAAAGTCCACTTGGAGAATGGGAGATGGATTGCCAGAAACAATCAAACACAAGTGAGGAGACTGCTGGATTTTGTAACCAGTAGGGAACCAGCTGAAAACGTAAGCATGAAGCACATGCTAGAGATTGCCTCAGAGAATGTTCCGCATAGGAAAAAGTCAAGTAATGTCAGTCTGAATTCTCTGCAAAGCTCCTCAGCTACAAGGCATGTGCTAAAACCCAGACGGTGGATTCTGGATGATAGACGATAGACGATGGACGATATCTCTGACATTCATTTATTTCTCTCAGGCACACAATCTGCTTTTGTCACGCAAAGTTAAAATATTGAACAGTGAAAATTCGTGCCCTCCCCCTCCCCCAAGAAAAAATCTAACTTATTTGAACTGGACAAAGTTATGATTGTGAATTGTTCATCACACAATTTCATGCATTCCTTCTTTTATCACGCGATGTCACCTTGGGATTTTGAAATAGTGTACAGCGAAAATTTGTGCCCACCCCGCTCCCCAGCAAGAAAAAAACAAACTTATTTTGACTGGACAAATTTTGACTGCAGATTTTATGTCACGCAATGTCAGTTATGGCAGAGAACTGTGGAGAAGGAACGCGCTGAGCTGGGACTTACATCGTGGGCCGCAGCAGCAGCTGTGGCCAAGAATAGGGACAGATGGCGAGCATTGATCTCCGGCCCTATCCCCCACTCGGGGGCAAGGAACTAAGCTAATGTCAGTTATTCATTTATTAAATTCTGACAACAAAGTATAAATTTGTCACACAATCTTTTTTTTTGTCCCACAATCGATTGCTTTTTCACACGAATTATTCCAGACTGCAGGCAGAAATGACGCAGGAGAATTGTAGCCCATACGGCAAGCACATGATATGTTTTTGCATGAGTTGTTGTGGAGGGGGGGAAAATAAGCAGCCTCACCTTAGTTAATAAGCTGTTTTAGTGAAGCTTTCCACAAGCGGTCTGCCAGGATTATCGGTGCTTGCCATTACCATTTTTCGCTTCCTTTCCTTACGTGTTTCAATTTCATTTTCACCAGCTCTGAAAGTTTTTATTGCAAAATACCAACCCTTACACTTGCCAAAAGGCCAGAAAATTTTTTTTTCAAAGCATGAACTTTTACACCAAGCGAACCCGAAAATGGGAATCGAATGACTTTGCAGAAAGTCTATTCAATCAACGGTCTGCTTTACATCAGGTTAGATCTGTTGGAGATTTACACGTGACATAATATGGTGTAAAGTTACAACAGCGTCATTATGCTTTCTGAGTGACTCGGTTCAGACACGTTTTTTAGCCGAGAGCTCACTTTGTCTACGCGATAATGGATATGGATTATTCATACTCAGAAATTGCTCAAGGTGTAGCATCACCAATTTTTTGCACATTGGTTTTCATTAGTATCATTCATTGTTTTTTTATTATTATTCATTAGTTTTTATATTGTTATTTCTTTTTATTGGAGTGTATAGGTGAGACTACTTTTTTCTTTAAGTGACAGAGATCGTAAACAGCCAGAAGTTGTTAGTTTGTGAAAGAGAAAACTTAAAAATGCCCCACGACGAGATCAAGGTTAGTTCTTTCAATAGAAAATGTGTATAGTTTCTTTGACTATTGTTTGGGTGTTGGCATCTATGCTTATATTATTTATCAGCGAGGAAACAGTGCTACGCCTCATTTGTTTGCGTTGAGGGGCCATGTTTGAAAAAGAAAAAACTGTTCGGTGTCAGCATAGTTAACTATGGTGTCAGTATGTCAAAGATCACCAGCCCTGTCTCTACATGATATTATAGTACAAAACGTAAATTCACTTGCATTCGGTTTGCTGGGAACAACACAGTAATTTTTTTCATTCTCCGTCATAGGTAAACTATGAACCAAATGCGCCAAAAAGTGAGTATGCATAATTGAGTCTGTCTTTTGGTCAAGGAAATAGCGATCTGATCAAATTAAGACCTCGTTTCTTTATGTGCTGTTAAATTTTGCAGGGTTGAATTCTTTGTTTGTTTCAACCTAAACTGGGTAACTGGTAGTTCCATCAGCACCAAGTTGTGAGAGTGTGGTTCTACCGCTATCTTAAGTTCTCTGCCAGCTACGTAGGCGAATCGAATCACCATGAAATCTGTGTGTCAAAACACCAAAAGATAAAGAACTGTGGTTTCCAGACTTCCAATATTACATGTGCACGTTCCAATTCTAAGAGAAAGCTTATATTGCTAATTTACTAAAACCTAATCAACAACTATTCTTAGCATATTTCATAGTTGTCCGGTAGTGTACCCCTTAGGTCAAATGTTGCCCCAGGTTCTTTGGACTATGTTGGCGACCTGCCTCTAACTAATGAAAGGTTAATCGATCACCCCTTGGGTTACCGCTAAGGAAATAATTACACTTCCCACCACATACGCAAAGTAACAACTGTTTTAATTGTTGCTTGGAGAAATGAAGTTCAACCCAATATCTCACTCGTTCTTAAAGGGCATAGCCCAAAAGTTTGGCTTTGAATTTGAATTTGAATTTGGCAATTTAAATAACATTGTCTCCAATTATTATAACAAATAAGTGGCACGCAGCGTACATAGATTTGCAGCTTCTAATTATAGAAATATCACATGTCCGTGCACTGACATGTGATACACACAAAGATGCCACCACACCACGTGATATGCGATGCACACAATCATGTCACACCAGCTGTGCGTCCAGTTTGCGTGATTTTCTTTTATAGAAAATTATGTGTTTGATGTAAAGGACGCTGAAGAAATAAACAAAAAAGGGACAATAAATTCTTTTATACGTCAATGCAATTGGGTTAGGTAAAAAACACAGAAATTAATATAAATTTGAATTCACCTTCATTAGAAGATGGGAATGTCCAGTTTTTATTAAGAGATAACCTATTTTTGACAGAATTGCTTTGTAAAATAAACTTTGGTTTTATGCTGTTTTAGCATGTTAAAAGCCAATAGCAGCTGATTGTGTCTTCATTTCCCAGATAGTTCTGAGGTTCCTTTTATATGAATCTCCGCCCCTTGACAAGGACAATATCTGAAACAACGCAAACTATCCACAGAGCAAACATGTCGGTT